GGGACATTATTGGAGAGGCAAAAGGCTACAGAAACACTTGGAAATAATGAATCACAAGAGTTCTTTTCTCTGTTCTTCCTTAATCTATAATCTAATGCTTTTGAATATTATTATGATTGTTTATACAATATGAGTAGCTAAACTCTGTCATTTAGGGTTTGATGGAACCTATTGGACGATGATTTTTCATTGCGTTTAATATAAATTTTCATTGATTTTTCTTTACTTGTTCAATTACGTTTCATTGTTGTTGATTGAAGAGCTCTCAATTGACTGTGCCTATTTAATGTGTATTGCTTGGAAAAGGGTACACATTTAGGTAGTTGTTGAACAATATCACTCCTAATATATTTAGAATTAATACGGAGGATTTAAAGGTGGGATTAGAAATAACGAAACTTTGGTGCGATCCTAGTGAGCGGTGAACTAGTGCTAGCTGGCGTAGTTCGGAAGAATACATCTAGTAAATTGTGGTAGTTGCTCGGAAGAGAATTACGACACCCGAAGTACTCACGCATTCCACAACAAGCTAAGGATCGCTGCATTCTGCAAGCTCTAATCAAACAAGCTAAACATCAGCTCATCATCACTCTCTTCTTTTACGTCTTCCTGCAATGAGAGAAAACCAAAAAGAGAAAATAGTAATGAGCTTTTGCGGCTTAGTTAATAAAAAGGGGAGGGGTGGGGGAAAAATAGTATTACATCTCACAATTCCTTACATATAGACTATATGCTTGAAGAAAAAAATCGTTTCTAAATATTTGAGGGAATTTGTTCAATTGACTCATAAAACGTAGTTTTTTCACACTAGCTAGTTAGCGAAACTGGTAGCAAAATATTATGAGCATGCATATATATATGTACTAGTATCTAATGTCAAAGTTTCAAAACATGCACATATCGCAAAGTTAACATCGAATCATAGCTAACTTAAATAATTCCTTGAGTAAATCAAGATATAATTTTTAGACAGAATACACATATACATGTATAACTTTACAACAACAACATACATGTATAACTTTAGATAAAAGAATTAGTAATGGGTCAAGATTGAATGTATACCTTCTTCTTGTCATTGGCGGAAGGTGCAGCGGTGGCGTCGTTACCGGTAGTAGGAGCGGGAGCAGCGGTAACAGCGGCAGTAGAAGACGCGGTTCCGCCGACGCCGACGTTCATGACAAGTTCATCCACGTTCATCTTCTGACAAAGTTTTGCAAAAAGGCTCGGCCAGTATGATTCCACCTTCAAATTTGCTGCTTTTATGAGAGAGCCAATTTTCTCGGCCTATACAAAAAGTACATCTAGATTAGTACTTCAAATTTTGAACAACAACAATATCTCAATCCAAAGCAAGTTAAGATGTCTATATAAGTTTTAGGTTATATAAAATAAAAACAGAAAATACTAGAAGTTATCTTTATTCTTTAATAGGCATATGAATCTCTGACAGGACCAAAGAACTCCGTAGAAACATTGAATCTGAAATAAATATTCTAACATAACTAAAATTTAATCTCAAATATCAATTAATTGATATTGCCCATATAATTTTTTTTTATTGCACACTAATTTTTTCTATGCCTACATGAACAACAATAAACAAGAAATTACTAGACAAATTAAAGAGTTTTTTTTTTCTCTTTTAACGAAACACAAAGCTTTCTAAGAAATATTGCATTACATTCGACTACTCTAATGTACAGTATGTTTTGCTTGTCTGCAAATACAACAATAAACAAGAAAATTATGAGACAAACTAAAGCCTATTTTATTTTATTTTTGGTTTAAGAAAACAAGATTCAAGCTCAACGAAGAAAAACAAAAGTAAAAAGAAAACAATTACGAGAGAAAGGAAAAGATTGCGTCACATTGATAGGAATTCCATCATCATGAAGGATCAAACAAGCGTACGTACAAGCAAGTTCACCAGTGGAAGACATCGTTTCTATATCTCAAGAATAATATTGCAGAAACCCTAATAGAGACCGTCAGAATTTTTGAGGGCGAGAAAGAATATCGTGGGGGTATATATAAGTTTTCTTGGTGTCCAAGTTTTCCTTCCTTTCCTAAAGATTTATGATTTGTAATTCACATACTCCTATTTCAATTTGGTCAAAAAAAATATTTATAGAAAAAAAACAAAATGGGATATATATACGTGTTTAACCAAAAAATCTGAGTCTTTGGTCAAAGCTTAGAAATATAGAGAAATTCGGGTTACTGATAATNTTTACCTTTCCCCACCTTATTCATCTTTACCACCCCAAATTATTCCGCCATGGGGTTTTTACTTTAACTGCAAGAAGTAAAAGGGTCTTGGTAAGCCCTGAAGATAACAAGGATCGTGGGTGGTACACTCGTTATGTTGCTGTTTGCACGGTTGATTTGGTGGGTGAAACAAATATCCCCTTCCCAAAGAAGTGGAACTTTGCACGTAAGTTTTTTGTACTTACCGTACCTATCTTTAAGAATTTCAATTTCTTTTTTAATTTCGTCTCTTTTTGCTTTTCTATAGCAACTATGGGAGATGTGGAACCCGTTCCTAATTTCCATGGTTGAGTAGATTCAATCTTGAAAGTCGTGCCTATGGAGGTAAGAACTTANTTCTTCTCCTCATATCTGTTGTCTCCCGTGCCTCTTGGCTATTTATTGCGTTTTGACCTTTTGACCAGTCCATGTGTCATGACACGTCATCTTCAATATTTAGATTCAGTTTTTTTCCAATACAGATAGTCCCCTCACTTTCCATTTATTTATCAATTAAATATTTGGGAAGTGGATCTTCACGAAAAAAGAATTTTTGCCGTAATCAATGCTATGTCAGTACTGACGCTTCATTTGTCTTTTCTATTTAATACTCTGCACACGTGTCACCTTCTGATATGTATGTAATTCTACAGCCTTTTTCCAAGGCTTCTTCATCCCCTCTATTTACGAAGTGATAGTTGCCTTTATTATAGGCTTTCCATCATTACGCTTCTTTGTTTGACGGTTGCTATTATACACATATTTAACCTTTTTTCCTTTGTCTTCTTCTTCATAAACCCTTAACAGATACTTTACTCTTTACTTTTGTTCCTTTCTCCTTTA